CTCACAACTGTCTATAACTCTAGGCCCAGGAGTTCCAAAATTATCTTCTGGCCTCTGTGGGTACCAGGCACACACATGGTGTAGAAACATGTAGGCAAAACTCACTATTTTTGTTTTGTGTTTTAAGGCAGGGTTTCTCTGTGTAGCCCTAGCTGTGTGGGAACTCGAGAGATCCACCTGCCTCTACCTACGAGTGCTGGGATTTAAGCAGTGCGCCACCACCTCATGGTTCATTATTAACTTGTTAAAAAGCTTTCTGTTCTTGCCCAACGGTGGTGGTGCATACCTTTGATCCCAGCATTTGGGAGGCAGGGACAGGCAGATCTCTGTGAGTTCAAGGATAGGCTCCAAAGCTACAGAGAAACCCTGTGGGGGGGGCAGTTTTCTGTTCTTGCCAGGCACACCTGTAATCCCAGCACTTGAGGGATGGAGTTGACAGAGTCAACTCCAAGTTCAGGCCAACCTGGTCTACACAGTGAATTCTAAACCACTAAAGGGTAGACAGGGATCTTTTCTCCAAAAAAAAAAGAAGAAGAAGAAGAAGAAGGATGATAGTTATCCCATTCCAAACTTACCTTGGGGGGGGGAGGGTCGGTCCTCCTCCCAAGTGCTTGGATTATCTGGCTGACAGGCTGTTCCTGAGACTTATGGGCCATCTACTCTGTCACAGAGAACCAGCAGAAGTAGGAATGTGCTGTCCACTGCTGGTGTCTGTCTTCATAGTGCCATCTTCTGGCCATAGTGTAGAATTGAGCTGGCTGCAGTTAAAAGCACGTAGCTGTTCTTCCCTGAGTAGCTTGGTCCTCAGTGCCCGTATTAGGTGTCTTACTGTTAACTGCAGCTCCAGGAGATGGGACGCCTCTGGCCTCTGTGAGCACCTGAACTCAGGTGTACATGTGGACACAAACATCTACACATAAGAACAGTGGACTCCAATGCCAGAGCCACGCTCTAGAATCTAGGTTGGGATCCAGCTACATTTAAGGACAGGAAATGATAGTTTGGAGGTGAGTAGCCAGCAGGAAAACCGTTGTGGGCGTTCCCAGTAGCGGTAGTGACCATATGCTGTTGAAAGGGTGGCGGGAGAGAAGTTGGAGGTTAGTCACCCACAGAAGGGGCCGCAGTCTCTTATAGCCTGCTACGACATGCTGTGGCTGCAGCGGGCAGAGAAACTGACCCCATACCCTTGGCTCAGGCTTGTGATTTGGTAGGTAGGTTGCTTTGATGCCACCGTGAATATTTGCTACCGGGAGGAGGATTCAAGCCCCTCTTACTTGAACTTTCCCTCCATCCCGGGACTTAACTGCCTTCCCAGATAATAAGGCCCAAGCCCTGGGTTGCAGAGAGACCAGGTTCTAATTTCAGTTCCCTGAGCGGCTGGGTATCTTCAGAGAAGGGAAGCATCATTAGTGCATTGGCATGCATCCTGTGGCAGTGACATCTTAAGCTGGCATCTGGAAAGATTTAATGAAACAATAACTTCTAGATTGGTCCAGGTCCAGGCAGGGCATTGATGGCATGGACCACTTAACAGGTGGTGGGCATTAGAGAAGCCACTGAGGGGGTGTGAATTACAGCTGTCATCAGTCCAGGTCTCAGAGTATCAGAGATGAAGCAGCTGTTACCGGCCTTGAGCTTGAAGGGACAAGAACAAACACAGCTGGGCTAAGGGGAGGACTGCTGCTGACAGAGGCACTATATCTACTACAGAAGGATGCTGGGGGCGGGGGTAATGACCCATCCAGGCTGCTCCTCCCAATAGCCAGGCTTCTTTCAGTTTGTCTGAAAACTCGAGGGCAGCTCTGAAATGCAGGTGGAAAGCAATAGAGAGGACAGATGGTGCAACCAACCTGAGCAACTCTCATGCCAACTCAGTAAGACCAGCAGGATCTCTGTGCAAGGCTGTGTTTCCTACCATAGCAAGAATTGGCCCCAAGCCTCTTGGCTTTCAGGACCCCCCCCCCATGCCCTGGTTCTCCTCGGAAGGAGCCACACAAACTACCTGGGAAAACGTCTGAAATTTCAACTTTCAGGGTTGGTGGCGCTCCTATGCTGTCTCTCCAGGCTGCAACCCAAGCTTCAGGCTGTGGAAGACACAAATTCTCAGTCTGTAGCTTCATCTCGGGGCCAAAGATTTCAAAGGATAGGCCACCCCAGAGACAGGAAAGCCAGTGTGCCTGCATGCTGCACACCCACACATGCATGTAGGCATTCAGAGCCCCATGTATAGTGCCACTTCTTCCCAGCCTCACCCAGGCTCCTCACTGTGTTAGGATGTAATAGCATACACGTATGATGCGTGCCTGTGGTCATAGGTCAGGAAGAAGCTCTGTCCTGGAGGAGGGGTGCCCTGGGGGCATAAGAACTGGGCTTACGCCTGGCAGTGACCACATAGACAAGCTGTGGCCTCAGCCCAGTTCCAGAACTTCTCATTTTAAGATTTTCAGATTGTTTACCATGGGCAACTGAAATAATGGAAGCCAGTTCTGTGCCTAGGGAAAGATGACTACAGCTCACTATATGTGTTAGGAACAGGTCCTGATTTGTGCCAAAGTGCCCTTAACACAGAGTTTATGTAAATAAAGATGGCTTTTCCTGGGACATGCGTACTGTATGGAATATACTAGTCAAGTGTGGGGCTGGGAATTGGTTCGTTGTTTAAAGTGCTAATGTGAGTGAAGCCAGAGTTCAGACTGCAGCAGCCTTGTAATGAGAGCTGGGCACAGCAGGCTGCCTACAACTCCAGTGCTGTGGGGGGTGGAGGTGGACACAAATGGGTTCTAGTGGTTTGCTGGTCAGCTACCCAGGGGAAAGGGTGAACTCCAAGTTAAATGAGATACCCTGTCTCAAAAAAAAAAAAAAAAAAAAAAAAGGGGGGGGGCCA